GTTAAAGAAATATATGAATTTTGGAAAAAAAACGAGCAAAAATTGGAGTAGGGTTTGTGTGTGTGTCTGCATGTGTGTATGTATGTACGTATGTATGTATGTATGTGTGTATGTGTACGTTTGTGTGTAAGTATGTGTTGTGTATTGAATGTATGCGACATTCCTCTGCATATGTGTATGCTCTGTGAATTAACCAAAAAGTTACCATTGTTAGTTTCGGAGTCGTCAAGAACGTTGGAAAACAACATACAGAATTTGCAGTCGGATAGTGCACTTCTAGTGAATGCGTTTTTATGCGTTTTTTGCATCTATGTAATATAGAAAACGCATATTGACGAGGGGTTGTCTGTATGTGTGTTCGCCTGTGCAGATTTTTCATCTCCAGGCCTACAAAAGCTACAGGGCTGAGACTCTGGGAACTTAATCTACATGGTCTTACAGGCTCCCATCCCCAAAATGGGCGCTCTTACCCATGCGGGTACGTCAAAGTTTTGGCTGGTAAGCTGCTAACTCAGGAACCAGATAAGCTAGAAAGCTGGAAATTTATAAGGATTTTCCCCTTCCATGTAGGTTTTAATGAATTCAAACCCATTCTCCAAGCATGCGTGATTCCCACGTGCGGGCCAATGAAAGTTTTTTGCGAGTAAGTGGCTAATTCGGGAACCTGGAAAGCTAGAAAACTTTAAGGAAATGTTCCCCGCCCATGTAGTTCCTGATGAAATCAAACCTGGCCCTCAAGTATGAGTGGCTCCCTGTACGGGCCCGCGAAGAAAAAAGTTTTTACGGGTAAGTTGCTAATTCGCGAACCAGAAAGACTAGGAAGCTGGAATTCGGAGGAAATGTTCTCGATCCACGTTGAACCTGGTGACTTCAAGCTCTGCTTCCAGTTGCTCATGGTTCTCACGTACGAGCCAGTTAAAATGTTTTGCGGGTAAATTGTTAACTCGGGAACTAGGAAAGCTAGAAAGCTGAAATTTTAAGGGGATGTTTCCTGACAGTCCGACGGCCAGTCTCAATTTTTTTAGCTAGAAACATCTGCGCAAAAAAAAAAAAACAGTGTCGTTAGCGACAAAAAGCTGCGAGGAACTATGCAAAAAACGCATCTTCGTAGCAGCAGTCGGTGCGTTGGCCAATTATTATGACAGCCAAATCAGCCGGTCAGTCTTAGTAATCATCGCAGTTGAACAGTGCAAAAAGTGTCTGGAAGTGTCACTATATTTGTTATTTTTAGTATTTTAATTGGATTAAAATTAACCGAAAGAGTAGTTACAGTTAGCTAAGAAAAGACAGTTGTTGGTATCGAATAATTGGTAAAGATTAGAATGATTGCCTATTTGAAGGTGTGAGCCACAGGGCTACAAAAACCAAGTACGGTTACATCTCTATTTCGGATTTTAACTAAAAAATTTATGGTACCGAGCATATTGCGGTAAATTTTTCAGCCCGAATCTCGAGCACATTTGGGTTTATTGGAGAAGAAAAAGGATTATGTTAAGCGAGCCAAAGATTACAATTACAAAAAGCGAAAATTACGAAAACTTCGACAAAAAGCGCTCAGCCGAAATCCCGATGAATTTCACTTTCACATGATTCGCAGCCACATTGGGGTTTGCCTTTATC